ACCCGTGCGTCACTCGTAGGAACAATATGATAAGTATATTTCAAACCAAAACGTCCAGTATGGTTCCCTCAGTGGATAAACCGGGAGCCCGTCCCCCAGGATGGGATCGACCTGAGGTCGAAAAATATGGAATAGTATCAAATTCTTACTCAAATAATGAATCTTCATGTCCCCACAACATGGATAATCCTAATGATGGCACTGCGAATGTTTCAGCTAGATCCATTCATTTAAAGAAAGTAAAGATAAAATGGTTTCGGAAGTGTGGGGAGTACAAACTCATTATGGCTACATTGTATGAAGCGTTCCCCAAAATATGAGAAAAACACCACTCGCCAAATATATGACATTTGGCGTGAACAGTTTGAACAAGCAATTAATCTTGTCTGTAAAAGACTGATGCCTAATGTGCCGGGCAATTTCGGGTAGACATTTGGACCCTTACCTCACTCGTCGGAAGAATACGAGATCTAAAAGACAAAACAAAATGTCCAGTATGGTTCTTCCAGTGGATAAACCGAGAGCCCATCCCTCAGAATGGAACCTACCTGATATCGAAAAATCTGACATGTGAACTAAATCCTACACAGATAATTAATTCAAGTGCCTAGAAGTGGAATAATCCCAGTGATGACTGAGAATTCTACAACTAGATCCACAACGAAAGGAAAGATAAAATGGTCTCGTGAAGAGTACAATCTCGTTATGACTGCATTTTATGAAGCGTTGCCCAAACATATGTCATTTGGCATGAAAACGTTGGACAAGCAATTAGAAAAGACATTGACGAAAATAAACTAAGCTAATGTAAGCAGGTACAGCATGAGAAATAAATGACAGATGCTGGACTTAAAGATATAAAAAGAACTGCAACCAGAGTAGGTGAATCAATAGGACATGACGAAACCAGAAATGGACATAAAATTGCTAAAATCATCCAAACCAGTGATCATAAAGAAGAAACTGAGATATTCACCAATCGCTGTGAAGCTAATGCTGAAGGTTTAGAAGAGTTGGAAAGGTGTGATTTTAGTCGCTCAGAAACCTGCAATGAAACGAATTCAAAACACAGTGAACCGAATGAATTTACGGAAAATAAGAATAGTATACAAGAAGCCAAGGAAGAAATCATGAGACATATAATCAGACACAAAATATTGAAATGGAGAAATGAGAACAACTCTTAAAATTTCAAAAACGAAACAGAACCTCAGAAGTATTATACTTTAAAATGCAGCACTCAGATTAATTTTGGAAATAAATAGACCCACATATATACGTTTAAACCTAACAATATATGCATCAGCAGTAACTGTAACTAAAAAATTAAGGACTAAAGTAAAAAACGCAGTCTCACAGAAAAGAAAAATAGAGAAAGAAATTGAAGAAATTGGAAGAGAATTATCAGCACTCGGTGAACTGGCAAGAGGAACAAATATAAGGACTAGAAAAGGCAGAAAAGCCCAAAGAAAATAGAGAATTAGGAATGAAAAGTTCTTTCAGCTAAAGAAAAATATAAAGCAAACAATATAAATGAAGTCTCGAAGAATAAGACGCTACAAAAAAGGTTCAAAATCCGACAGACAGAACAAGATCTTTCAAACCGATGCGAAGAAATTTCACAAAGAAATACGTAAACAACAATTGGACTAACCCCCCACCACCACTACAATGGATGTCAGGTTATACTGTTCTGGGAAAAATATGACCTTGCCCTAAAGAACATAACAAAGAAGCAGATTAGTTTATGCAAATGGTGGAATGGATGAAACATAAACCAAAACAAACATGGACATGAATCATAGAAGAGGATGTTGAATGTGTACTGAAAAATCCCACAAATCGATATATACAGGAATATAGATAAAATTCTTAAATTTTGGCTATATTATCTAAATACAGCACAAACAGAACTAGCGAAAGAACTTCAAGAAATTATTAATAATCGTACTAAAATTTCGGCATGGATAATAAAAGGAATTACCTTCCATTTAACCAAGAATGATGACACAAAATCTACACACCAATTTCGAGAGTTATTCTGCCGAAACATACATATTCCTTCTTAAAGAAAAAATGACGCACTGCTTTGAGAACAAAAAGGGGGCAAATGTGGATTTTACGGATGTAACGACCAATAGCTTATTAATACTATGATCTTGGAAAAATGTTTCAAGACAAACACAAATCTCAGTACTGCCTGCTTGGATAGATTACCGTAAGGCATTCTATAGCGTACCCCATTCCTGGATCTTAAAGTCTTTAAATATATATAAGGTATCACCTTCGTCATCAGTTTCATCAAACAAATGTCGATGTGGAATACAACACTTCAACTCAGTCATAAACGGAGTCTATAAGTCTGGTGAAATAAATATCAACAGAAAAATATTTCATTATCCAGAGAACTTAACAGGACGGAATATGGCTATCAGATATCTCAAAAGAAAATAAACCATCTATTTTACATGGATGAATTAAAATTGTATAATAGGATTGAGAGTTAGCTGGATGATCTCCTGAAAAGGAGTAAAATGTTTCAGTGGTGACATTGGAAAGGAATTCGATTTGGATAAATGTGCTAAAGTCAAAGATCACTACAACAAACTTCCTCTATTAGCTTAGACCCTGCGGTAAAACTGAAACATTTAGAGCGAGAAGAGGCTTATAATTACCTTGGATTAAATGGGGGTGGAGGAAGTCACCATAAAAATGAAAGAAATAATGCGAAAGAAGTACTATAAAAAGGGTGCCACTGATATTATGAACTGAAATGAATTCTCAGAAGAGAATTATGGTCATTAATAGCTTTGACATCCCAGCTGCTCAATATAGTTTCAACATCTTGAACTGGACTCTAAATGACATCAGACGAATGTATTCTAAATCAAGAAAGCTTCTGTCTAAGTATAACCCAGAAAATGACAGAATTTCTATACATAACTCGTAAGGAAGCTGGAAGATTTTTTTATTCAGCTAGAAAAACAATTATTAGCTTAAAAACATACATGGAAACAACAAAGGACTGGATGATATAATCAGTCAAACAAGACGAAATAAGAAAGAAAAAAAAATTCAATCATAAAAGAAAGTTGTAAATACAAATAAGTTTTACATTTAGGAGATTCTGTAGAAAACCAAATCCGAACCCAAGAAGCAATTGTTGCAGCAAAAAATACGAAAAAGGAAGCTAAGAATAAAGCTCTTACTTAGCTTAAACAACGCTATCAATATACGCCTCTGGATGTCCAAAATCCAGAAGGAGGCTAATAAAATCAATTTTGATAAAGTTAACACTCATCGATGGTTACAAGCATCTGGATTAAAACGGAAGGCTTTATTCTTGCAACACAAGACCGTAGTCATTTTATTAGAAACTTTCAGGCAATTATCATACATAATAATGTGGATCCAAAAGACAGGTACTGTGACAGATATCAGGAAACCATAGACAATCTAGTCTCAGGATGTTCTATACTTACGCCAAATGAATCTAAAATATCGTCACGATAGAGTGGAACAATATTTACACTGAACAATGTGCAAACACTTTGGAAAAGATGTTAACAAACATTGGTATGACATAACCCAACACCGTTTTCAGAAATAGAAGGCATTATATTTTTTGAGATTACACCATATTTCCAGGCAGAAAGATTGATTCAAATAGGCCAGACATAAATGTCAAAAACCGAAAAGAAAAAAAAAACTTGCTTAGTGATTGATATGGCTTGACCAGTGGATTGTAACATAGCAAACAAGGAATTTAAAAATCTATCGAAGTATAAAAACCAGGAAATCAAAATAGAAAAAAATGTGCAAATTGAAAACAAATAGAGGGAAATAGTAGGTGCGGTTGGAATTATAAAAAAAGAGCAAAACAACACATTGAAAAGATCCATGGAAATCCCAGCTTAAGAGAAATACGAAAATATCTCGGTAATTACGGCTGAGGCATTAAGAACTTTGTCCATGTAACGGGAGTGATGCTATGGGAGTTAGAAAAGCAAATCATGAAATGTAGCCATAACAACAACGCAACACTACTTGCCATAGGTCTTCCCGCAGACTTGGTAGATAGTGTGACCATAGCACTAATCGAAATATAGAAATAATAATAATAATAACTAGCAGCATGGCCCGGCGTTGCCCTTTCTTGATTCAAAAATCGTACGACTCATACAGCAATCGCTATCACTTGACTTAAAATATTTTTGCCCTTCCTTGCCTTTAAAGGTATGCCCTTTGCCATGCTGATGTTTCTCCATGCATTAATTCTTGCCTATCTCACATTGGAATTTTTTTTCTAAGCTCTATACTAAATATTAAATCTGTTACGAAAAAAGAACTAAACAAAATGAGCACAAAACGATCACCTTTAAAAAAGGACTCGTAACTGGAAAAACCGAATGAAAAAGAATGTTAACAACAAATACTTTATCACACCCAACCCAGTTCTGCGGAATCAGAATCAACGTTGAGTTTAAGCGAGCGAATGAGCCAACTGGAGTAAACTGCCATGCAGATTTAAATTTTTCCCACTTGTGAGGAATGCAGCTATCGATTTTTTTGGCATGCTAGCTAATATTCGGTCAGCTGTTGACTCTCACGCCGGCCAAGAGAATATTCCTGGCTATTCGTGGCAGCCAGCTATAGGCTCTCACTCAGGCCAGTAGAAAATGGCCGCAAACTACCTGAAAACTGCCGTAGAAACATGAAATATCGATTACTTCTACTATCGATGGGAGTTGGGAAATGCAAAGTCGGTCTTGGCCTTCCTTATATTTAACTTGGAGCATGTGCATGTAAATTCTGGTGTAAACCCGTCGCAAATTACGGCCTTTCATTCGTCACACACACACACACACACACACACACACACACACACACACACACACACACACACACACACACACACACACACACACATATTCTGCCTTTATAGATAGAATAATAATAATAATAATAATAACAATAATAATAATAATAATAATATCCCACTTTTAAGGGAAGGAAACTGCAAGAAACTGGTATAAACATCCCCCAGACCGGGTTACAGAGATAAGACTTTACAATAACCACATAGAGAAGAATCAAAGTCATCAATAACCACAACAAGAGAATGTGCTTTCTTATTGGGATGGAATCCCCGCAGATTGATAGGTAGCTTTTAAGATCTTCAAAAAAATATCAAAATACAAGGATCTGGAACATAAATAATTTCAGTTGTAGTGGAAGCCCTCGGATAGATTGGCAATGGTTCCGGTATAGTAATTGTAGGGATTGGCAAACAAAAACGGTGCCTCCTTATTGACATGGCAGTCCCTACTGACTGCAATGTATCTTTGAAGATATTCAAAAAGTTGTCAAAATACAAGGACCTTGAAATAGAAATCTCGAAAATGTGGCATATGGGAACATCAACAATCCTTGTTGTAGTTGGAGCCCTAGGACTGGTTGGAAAAGATTGCAGTAGACTAATTGAAGAGATTCCTGGAAGTTCATGCCTCAAGAAGATGCAAAAAATTGTTCTGACAAGTACAGCCCACACTTTACGAAGGGCTTTATCTATGTTTTTTTTTTTTTTTTTTGTTTGTGGAAAGTGTCATGACGCCATTTCTAACCTTAGGTCCCTAGGCGGGACCCGGAAAGAAATGTGTAAACGCCAGAAATCAAAGAAAATAATAATAATAATAATAATAATAATAATAATAATAATAATAATAATATCATTTATGATAATATTTCTAATTAGTATGTAGTCCATTATTTACATAATTCAGAAATATTGTCGCCATATTTATTACAACGTTTCGGTCGTTGTACGCTCCGACCTTCTTCAGGTGGTTGCAATGTCGAACTGAACCCTTTATTTCTTTCACTTTCGACATTCCAACCACCTGAAGTAGGCCGGAGCATTGTAATAAATATGGCGACAAAGATGAGGACATTAATCCGAATAATGCACATAATACCTCATCTCAGAAATATAAACAGATATAGTATGCAGTCCTTATCTATCCTTCTTATCTAATGGTATCAGGGACCTCGTTTCCCTCCCTATTTCTGTTGTAACAACCGTACATTGGATTTCTTGGTTTTAGTAAGAAAGAAGGAAAAACAGCTTTGCGGTTTTTTTTTTTTTTTTTTTAACAAAATAATTGCAAATGCTAGCTCCCGAACATATAAGCTTACTTCGACCATAATATTAATTCTAGTGTGTTTAGGGTATCCTGATGAAAGCCCAAACAATTTCTGACAACTCACATCTCTTAGTGGATCTTTTAGTTCTAATATATGAGCGAGATATTCTAGGTATTGAGGTTTCCGATTGGCACGATATATCTGTCTTAAATTTGGGGATATCAAGTCTTTCTATATTCCTTGGATTACTAAGACCTTCGTTAAGGGTCCCGGAGGTAACAGTTTCCAGGTTTTTAGTGTTATCTGCCTGATAGTCATGGATCCAAACGTTTGAGTAACTTCTAAATATGTTATAATAGAGGAATATTGTGCTGCCATTTTTGAACGGGTTCTGAACCGTGAAGTAATCAACTGTGATGCCATTTGATGTCATGATTCACGGTGCTATTACGGCAGTATCTACGTATAATTAAATCCATATTATTGATACAGGTGTCTTCTGTGGGCATGTCTGTCTCACTCCCTTGTCTTCTACCAAACACACGTTTATCGACACATGAACACAAAGAAATAGAAGAAAAATAATAAAACCTATCGCAGAAAATTAAATGTAGACCATGGGTTCACTGTCCCCTACGTTCGAACTTTCCGGGGAACAAGTCTATCTTCTTGAGGCCAAACCTAACTTACTTATCCTGTCCTAAACTGGTATCTATTATTCTATCCCACTACAGTGGCTCGCAAACCCGGTCTACTTACTCATTATAGCAAAACGGGAGCAACAAAGCCGTCACGGCCACGAACTCAGCACGTATATTAAGGCCGGGTTTAGCTGTGACAGAGTCCCAAAACAGAGGACCATGACCTCCCATATATATGCTTCCAATGTAACATTATCCACGTTACCACCCTTGTTTTCATCTTGTAGTGTCCTCGGGATAATGGAACAGTAATGTTGAACCGAATACCTGAGACGATTAATAATATCCCAACTGAATTTCCCTCGGCTAGAGTTCATATTTCTGGTGGCTTTAATATTTAACATACAGAGTACTTAGCCACTCAAACAAAGCTGATCTATCTATCTATCTATCTATCTATTTATCTATCTATCTATCTATCTATCTATCTATCTATTTACTCTGTACTCTCTTCATATCTATCTATCTATCTATCTAGACAACCATGTAAACAAATATCAAAATCGATAATATATATATATATATATATATATATATATATATATAAAATTTCAAAAATATATATATATATATATATATATATATATAAATCTAAAAATATTTCCGCCTGGCCTAAGCGCCCAAATTGCTATTTCTTTGTACAAACATCGGAAAACCGAAAAGTGTATTGGGCCGAGAACTTTTCAACACCCCTAAGCACACTTATATAGACAACATAAATAAACGAAGTACAAAGAAAATATGATATAAAAACAAAACAAAAAAACCAAAACATAATATAATGATGAGGAGAAGAAAAACATTGTAAAATTAAAAAAGAAAAAAATTACAGCAATATTGCGTTAAGTAAAAAAAAGTCAGTGCTTTTAAATCGTAAAAAAATATCTTAGTGAAGTGACATATATTTGATGTCTGCATAATTTTCGGTAAAACATAAAATACTATATTTGCCAGTTCAGAAGACATCACTTCAAAATCTGGAACTGCCAAATTTTCCCCGCCATTACATCAAGAATAAAAAAAGCCGTTGTTCGCACAAATTTTCCGTTTATTTTTTTCTTCTTTCTTCACGGTAAATTAAAGAAAGACACAAGTGGGTGTCAGAATGATGACTATCATTCAGCATGCGTGAAAACATCTCTTTTCGCACGTGTATGACTGTACAATTGCTCCCTTATTCTGTCTAGGAGGTCACTCTTTCAACATTAGTGTTATAAAAAAAAGAACGATGACTAATTTTTTGAAAGTTTTGTTTCTTTTATTGACCGCCTCCTAGCGTAAGATTGTGTCAAATTTGCAATTTTCCCTTCTCCTTGGTTTTAATCAAAATATAAAAAAAAAATGTAAAGAACTGTTTTATTTATTTCTTTATTAAATTTTTTTATAGCCTCGGCTTCAACGGGTTTGACACGTGAACGTTTAAACTGCTTTAAAATACACAAAGAACGGACGTTCTCATGTCATTGATGAGGACAAAAATATCAATATCTTTCAAATAGTCGTATGAGTTTAAATAGATACTGGTAGGCTCTGACGTCACAAAAATAAGAGACGAAAAAGAGGGAAAAATGATGGATTAGCAGAATGTTGGATGTGTAAATATGATATCATTCTGTTTAAAATGTGTCTTTTGTTTTCGCCGTTGACGAGTACCCAAGAGAGAATGGTGATCTTTGAAAAGAGTGTCTTCGTTTTTGTTGCTTGACACGAGTAGGAAGACAAAGAGGCAGCAGGACGAGCTGTTGGTTGCCAGTTAATCGGATAATTGGGGACACTCGGTGACAAATTCGAATGCAACGACGAAAGATTAAATAAAATAAAATAAAATAAAATTCATGGAAATAAGATATATGTACACAACCAACAACACACACACACACACACACACACACATATATATATATATATATATAATTATTTTTCTTGAAAGTATACGGAACCCCTGAATTTAAAATTTATGGTAACGCTGCAAACTAATATAATATATATATATATATATATATATATATATATATATATATATATGTGTGTGTGTGTGTGTGTGTGTGCGTGAAAATTTATATCCGGACCTGTCATAAAACCTGTCGGGTAACAATCTGTCTGTTATCCGACACACACTGGGTGTTGATTCCACACACACACACACACACACACACACATATATATATATATATATATATGTATATATATTTTATATATAAAATATATATTCATCGATAGCGACAATAATTACATTAAATTTTATCATATAGACAAAAACAGTTTACTCACTACAAAGAAACTTCGTCTCGGTGCATTTCAATTGCAAGACCCCGACCGGTGAGAAACAAAATGGTTATGAACAGTTCTGCTTGTAAGCAAGCCGTATGTGAAACCATACTTCCTTTTTTTTCCATTTGAAAAATATATTTTGGTTGAAACAATATTGTCGAAGGATGTGAGGTATTAAATGATGGTCGGAGGAAAAATCCTTGTTGAAATGCATCAAACTAAGAAGGGTGGGCATCTTCGATGAAAGAAGTAGGAGGAATAAATGCTAACAATAGTTATAGTAGTAATTAGGAAACTGTTTTTGGTTCTCACCAGTCTACATGATAAAAATATCTTTGTAGTGGGTAAACCGTTTTCGTTCACATGATAAAAATAATATATATATATATATATATATATATATATATATATATATATATAAATTGGCCTGATGATTGCGTCTAGCATGAAACAGCCTGCCGCCTCTAAGTTTAGACTTCAATGATCACTGTTATATTTACACACGCTCTATATCTGATATTTAGCAGTTTATCCCATAAATATAGCACAGCTTAAGACTATATATATATGTGTGTGCGTGTGTGTGTGTGTGTGTGTGTGTGCGTGCGTCTTTCATTGAATAATTTACACAAGTTTTGTCTACTTATTTTCAATTGGATCCTTTCAGTCTCTTGTCTATATATATATAACAGGATCCAATTGAAGATGAGTAAACAAAATTGTCTAAGTTATTTCAACCTCAGAAACTGAATGCCATTTCCTCGCCAAACCAAAAGACACCCAGCCACAAGACAGATTCTACTAAGTGGACATTTAACCTTGTGTGAAACAAATAACTTCCACGAATTCCAGGTTTTCCCAAATTATACTTGCACGGATAATACCACAGAGCAAACAGGAACAAATAAAGAAAGTATATTTATTCAAAATGTTTAACCGTTCTCTTTTGCGTGTGGTAATTGTTGAAACTTGACTAATGCATGGAATAATAATGCAACACAAAATGTACTTAGAACAAAATGTATTGAAACAAGAAAGGTACACAATATTTACATATAGTCTTTTGTATTTTCTTGGGAAGACCGTTCCTGGAGAATGTGTTGACTTAGTCGCAGTCGGGCAGAGTCTCTGGATTGAATCTCTTGATTCCTCCCCTCGTCTTCCCGGTACCAACTATATTTATATGGTCGGTACTCCACTATGCAAATTAGGTGGATCCTACCACAACAGTAATAATCCATATTCGTCTTGGGCTCCAAAAATAAGAAATCATAAAAAAAAACATAATTCTTTTTAATAATATATGGAAATAACTATTCATCACCTAATGAAGGGCGTAAGACCCGAAACCCGTGTAGCAAAAATATGGAAAATAAAATTTTCGGGATCTCTTTGCGCTTTAACACACACACACACACACACACACACACACACACACATATATATATATATATATATGTATATATAGTGAAAGAGAGAATGTGAGATACATAGATACACAGAATGTTGACAATGAGTTCAGTACCGAAGGACGACAATCTATTTCATGCCTGAATACGTTTCTCAGGTCATGTGTGTTGGGCTTTGGTTCAACTTACGTTCAAACATGAAACAGATTAGCGCAGCTTGGTGCAGTCCTCGGTGTCCTCTTCTATATATTCTATAACTATATACGCTTTATCTCTGATATTAAGCACTTTTACCAATAATTTTAACGTATCCTAAATCTATATCAAATATCTATCTATCTATCTATCTATCTATCTGTGTGTGTGTGTGTGTGTGTGTGTGTGTGTGTGTGTGTGTGTGTGTGTGTGTGTGTGAAGGAAAGGGACAAAGTAGAAAATATTTTTATAACAACGCGGTTCGCCTTCGAGTCTTAGGTTGACAATGTGATTACATTTGGTGGCCGTGACCAAGGATCGATCCTGAGAACCACATTTGGTCGCTGCAAGCCAGGATCAACCCTGAAAAACTACAATTTGGTGCGGATTTGAACTCGGGTAGAATACGACCAACCCAAGAATCCAGCCAACAGAAAGGAAGGGTGACAAGGAAAGGAGTGAGAACCAACGGTCTTTGGTCATTTTGACCACACGGCTCTAAAATTATATTCCTTATTTTTTTTTTTAATTATTCTCTCCTGATAAACTGAGAGCGACCCAGGAACAATTGACAAGTAGGACATTTTTCGGTTTTTCCCTGATTTTTTTTTTTGTAGCGTCTCGCTAAGACGATTTTCTATTTTTCGGTCTTTTCCGATTTTTGATTTTGCTCGATTTGAATTCATTTGTTTGTCATGAATGACCACGGGTCGAAAATGTCTGAGGTTGTAGATGTTGAGGATGAGGGGGCGAGACAACACCCTGCTAGTGGTCTGAGGTGTTTGCTGGGTGGACCTAGGGTCCTGACCTTTGAGGTGAACCCGAAAGAGTTGAAGGATTGGCTAGCGACAATCGAAAAGGGACTGCGAATATATGAGTGAAAGTATGGGACACCCAGAGAGGATCGAGCTCACTACTCACTCGTAATTGTTCTAGCGAGACAAGCTTGTTAACCATCACACCACCTCGAGGTGCCCATATCTGATTGATAGTATTGATTTAAATATGAAACGTACTTTAGTAATTATTACTAATGTGAACTGTTTTTTGAAACGTGGATTTAAACATAAGGAATATTTTAGTAATAGTGGCTTATTACTAACTAGCAGCAGACCCCAGCGTTGCCCGGGGATGTAACAGTAAGAGATAGATCAAGTATTGACCATCATAAGACTGAAAAATGAAATTGACAAAGATTATTGTTTAAGGTTGACAGACACATGTCTTAATTAGTTCTTTTTTTGTTTAGTTTTTTTTTTTATGAATTGGTCAAACCCAAACTCAAACAAAAACATTGTGTTCAATCGTTATGAGTCTACCGATTGAATAGAATTTTATTATAAACAATTGTCTTGTAAATGGAAATTTTAAAGCATTCTGAATGTAGAAAAAAAAAAAAAGGTGTGCAAGACAATAAGAAACACTACCTGCCATAAAAAGTGAATTTTTGTTGAAATCGGTTGAAAAATGTAGGAAATCCGATCCCATATATAAATGAACACACACACACACACACACACACACACACACACACACAACCAACCTGGGTTTTATAATATGTATAACTTGCTATGAGTTGTCTCCCTTTCATTAATGCCTCTTAATCGTGTTTTCAAATTGATTTTGTCCAAAAACAATTGGGTTTTTCCAATTTTTGGCGCTGTTAGAACCACCGCAACGTAATTTTATGTAGTCCTGTGAAGTTTTGTTGAAATCGGTTGAAAAATGTAGGAAATCCGATCCAATATATAAACGTACAGATACACACACACACACACACACACACACACACACAATCTGCGTTTTATAATAAGTAAGATGAAGCGGATTGTTAGGCTCGGATGAATGAGCCATGAAATTAAAAGCAACCGAGGGTCACGGCAAATGATCACAGTGCACAATGAAGGGAATATTGTCCAGAATCATAATGATAGTTAAAAATGCCAAGGGAAACTTAAAAGTAAGTAAGGCGGGATGGGAGGATTCGGTGTCGGTGCGAAACGATGGCAATCTCATTCATAAGCCATCCAGTAATTAACAATTGGATTGGTTGGAGGAGATAGAGGTGTTGAATGCACGTCACAGAGGACGAAAGAATTTACTTGTTGATCCTGCCAGCTGGCCAGCGGTAGTATTGATGAGATACGACCTTTAGGGCGATAGCACCGCACACCTACCTGAACCAATCAGCCTGCTGAGGGATGATTAAAAGAAGGGAAACTAAAGAGAAGGACGTAGTGGCGAGATACTGAATTGAGGCAGAGCATGTAGCTTTGAATTCAGCTAAGACAACATTTATGATGCTGACAGCCAATGAAGCAAGGAAATGTAAGGATGATATTTTGGGAACATGTTACTTCGCTAAGTCCTATATATGTGACAGCTAATCAAAGGTTATGTATACTTGAACTGTTTAAAGACAATAGTGAAGGGATTAAAAAGAATTGCCAAACAATGACAAACACTGTGTTCGCCAAAAGCTGATTGAGTTTGGGTGGTGGCCGCACAAAAACCTATCGATCTGTATCGGGTATGTGGGAAAGAACGTACTACGACGTGAATAGTGAAACTGCAATTGTCCTTGATAGAGCTACGCCTGGGGAGTTCAGCATTTTGAATATTCCTCTTCCTACCCCCATATTACAAGAACGAAAAGAAATACGAAGAAAAGAACTCAATTATAGGCATTGTTGGCAAGAGCTTAGGTGATTGCTCGGAATTATGGGAATCGGTAATAAACGAATACCTAAAGTTACGCTAGAGAAGATGCCAGAGTTATTAAAGCCGATAAAAAAAGGATTAATATGAATCGATCAAAGGGCGGATTAAATGACTTGGGAAGAGAAAATATCGTTTGGACGGATAGTAAGAGGATAGTGATAAATTGTCGGTCACGATGGGAACCATGTTAATTATTGCTGCAGTAGCAGCAGCTATATGGGAGACAGAAATTATAGGAAGAAGATCGATTAAAAATGTTTTGGCGGGAAAGCAACAACTCGAGAAATGGATTCCAATCAGGGATCTTTACCCAAACAGTATATCGATAAGGAAGGAAGCAAACTGAATTCGTCAGAAGTAGAAATGGACCCGGTACCTTTTGAAATGGAACCAATACCGGTTTAAGAAGAACCAAAACATCCTACGGCGGAGAGAAAAATGGTACCCAAGAAGAACAAAACATGAAACACACATACACACACACGACAGAAACCTAAAATCTTTGCAATAAAAATAAATGGAAGGAGAAGAACTTTTATAGACTTTGCATGAAAAGAAAGAAGTAAAGATTTGATAAACTTTGCATGAAGAGAAAGAAGAAGAAAGGACTTTTTTTAAAAAGAGAAAAGTTGCATGGTAAATAAAAATATTGCATGATAAATAAAAACGATGCATAATAAATAAAAACGATGCATGATAAATAAGAAAAAAAGGTAGCAGGACCAGTAGAAATATTGCATGACAGAAATGTTGCATGAAAATTATTCTTTTTCTGTTATTACTGCATGACTTAGTATGCATGACAAACAGTATTCTAGTAGATTTGGGTTTGAGATGTCATTTAATAGTAAATAACAGGAGAGGTATGGGAAGAATTGAGGATTTAATTCACACATAAACGACTTGAATTTTATGTCGCGCAGTTTGAACAATGGGAATGTGAGCTAGACTTAAGGGGCGATGTTGATTGACAAACAGCTGCAAATGCAAGCTGTAAGGCGAAATTTTCATTTTGGTAAATAATGAATTTGGAGTTGATTCCCCAGGTCGAAAGTTGAGGGAATGGTTAAGCCACCCATCCTCACTGAGGAAATTTTTTGAGAGGTAATATTATGAGAGAGTTGAAGAAAGAAATTCCTCTGAATAATCGAATTCTCTTACTTCGCCTTGTGGAAAACTTCACCAACAACAGCAAACCAGATTTTGCCAGGTCACCAACGATACATCACTTCCAATTTAGATACAGTTGGCCTGATAATTAATTGCACGCGAAATCTGATATAAACCTATTATTGTACGGAGGACTGGTATGAAAACACTATTTACTTTTTGTTCAGTTTATTCGGTGTTAGTTTTTTTTTTTCCTGTACGTCATAGCCCTGCATGGACCAGCCCGACACGAAGATACCTGTGATCTTTGCTGCCTTATGATGAAACTTAAATCACAACGTGGGATTAGATTAGCTCTGGAATGGATTTTTTAATAGTGCACTAAGGTGTTTTCTTACTCTATTATGTCGTTGAATATTTTCAAGGTTCTTTTTCGTATTAATAAAAACACACACACATACATACACACACACACACACACACACATATATATATATATATATATATATATATATATATATATATATATATATAATCTCTTTTTATTTTTATTTTATTTCTCACACATTTTAAAAAGAAATCCCAGTATATGCACTGTTTTTAAATAAACAGTATTAATTATGTTTACCGGCCTGTACGTTCGAGAAATTACGGTTTATAAACAAAAACTTCTCGACGATTTAATATGTTGTCAATGTTTACGTTAAGGTACGTTTCGCGAGCTGATATGATCATCAGGGAAAGATCGTCTGATCAATTCACGGTTCTGTATATGACACAGGTTCGATTCCTTTTGGAAACTAAAGATTTTTTCGCCAACTTTCAGACAAATGTAATTAATACTATTTATTTCAAAACAGATTATTTATTTCAATAAAGTGTATCTATTAAGAATAACGTATAAACACAATATAAATGCAAATATATATATATATATATATATATATATATATATATAGAGAGAGAGAGAGAGAGAGAGAGAGAGAGAGAGAGGAGGCAGTGTAGAGTAATGGATAGTAGCTCGGATTGAGGAATCGGAGACCCGTTACATTCATTACGTGCCAATATTCTTGGGAAATTTATGAATCCTATTCTTTTACCCCGCCCCTAGATATGGGTAAATAGCAGGGTAGACTGTGTTCTATAGTTTTGGATGGCAACTTTGCTAGGAGAAGGACGACTCTGAATTCAAAACCTGAGGAAATTCAGTTGTGAACCTTTCTGGGACCAGCGCACCACATCTCTGTATTCGGCTCTTCAAAACGTGTGGTTGGTTCTGCACCGGTATAATGAAATCATGGTGTCTGGCTATCGCTTCCTAGGAACTGAACCG